GTTCACAGGTTTCATTATTCGAACACCATGGATCTCGTTGTCGTTGGAGGGTGTACCGTTTACCTGTAAACGTGTGTTTACGTCGATTAATCTCTTGTTGGTCATATCAACTAACAGGTTGTACACACTAAGAAAATCGGCCCCGAGGATGGGTCGTTTGACTTGATCAACTATGAATACCCATGTGAATCTTCTGCGGAGCCCGAGATCTAATATAAGAGATTGTTCTCCATAAGTTTTGATAACTGATTCGTTAGCCGCTACCAAGGACAATTTAGTGCTTGTCGTATGTTGTCTGCGTGAGAGATGGAGTGGGATGATGCTGATTTCTGCTCCCGTATCGACTAAAAAGTCTGAGCCAGAAATACGATCCCTGATGTGGAAGAGGCGGCTGACATGTTGGCCAGTAACAGCTGCCGCTATTACTGCCTGGCCACTTCGTTTCCCTGATGGTCTGGCTTGCTTGTCGTGAAGTTGCACGGTTTTGTGCAACGACGTGCTTTCTCACCATAATTCGAATGATACCAACAAATTCCGGCTGCCCGCTTAGGTGACCTAAGACGATGTCTGGATAATGATCTCCTTCTGGACATAGATCTGGGGCGTCGAGAGTGGATGGTGGAAATAGTCGCCTGCAGTGATGCTAGCTGCCGTGTTAAGTGTGCCATTTGTTGCTGAATGTCAAGAGTAGGGTTCATAGCATCTCTACTAGCGGGTTGTACTGCGTAAATTCCCCGACTATCGGGATATATTTCTATCATCTTATCGGCCATGTCTGCTAAATCATCAAGACTGACAGAGGCTCCTGATACGCTGAGAATTTGTCTGACGCTATAAGGTAACCTTTGTGACCACATCTGCTTAAGTAATGCTTCGTCTAACTTGTATGAACCTGCTAGTTGTTTCATGTGTCTAAGCAACTGTGAAGGTCTTTTGTCCCCTAACTCGCATGCGGTGAGTAGTTGCTGTAAGCGTTTTTCATCAGACTGCGAAGTACGGTGGATTACTGCGGCTTTTATTTTGTCATAGGGGTCTATCAGGTCTCCGACTTCTGCTGCCACTTCTATGGGTAATGCTCCAACGATGTATGCATATTTTGTAGCTTGCGAGCGTATACCTCTCGACAAAAATAATGCCTCAACCTGTGCAAACCAGATCCTGGGATTATTAACACCGTAAGTTGGTAATCTTAGTTCCGAGATAGCGTTGATTGAGTTTAAAACATTATCCTCTGGTTGTGGAGAGTTAAGAAGGTTGGTCGGTGAACTATCAATATCAATAAGTTTACCCGGAGAGTTCATAATGACAAAAACAAAAAATGGTGTCGTACCAATTAATAATAATAAAAAATTATGTAGATATATATAGTAAATGTCTATAAAACAAATCGAGGCTCACCAAATAATTGTGGTGGACCAAACAATATATAAACGCAAAAGTATCAACAAAGTTAATAGCAATCAATAGTAATATTAATATTTACAAGTTAAATGTTACAAATGCAATAACAAATTAGGGACGTTACTTAAATTGGCTAGTCGTTGCGTGTTCTGTTGAGTTTTGGTCTCAAAAATCCACAATTATAAATGCGTAATAATTCCACAGAGGTAAATATGACGCCAATAAGTTTCTTTGACGTAGGATATAATGGGAATGACACTGCAGTCTGAAATGAGGATAATATCCAGTTTAGAACGCAATTGACTTGGTAACGAGCGACAATAGAACAATGGGTATGTGCGTAGTAGTGTATTTGTGAACAACAGAAAATGTGTCACGCTATGTTCGAATTACAACGGAAAAAGTGTTCAAGGTCGTTGACTAAGACAACACGTACAGTCATTTAATGATAAATGTACATACAGTGAAAAATTGGCAAAACAAATAGAAATGACATTGAAAACTATTTACAAAATAAGGTTGTCAGGTCTATCTCCACAAGTTGTAGTAGTATTAGTTTATCTGTGAATATAAGTAATAGTTTTAATAGCAGTAAATTGAGCAGTATTAGTCGTATTGGTTGAAATGCGTGCGGCATTTTAATTAATACGGGTCGTAGATTCAGTGTAATTGGAAATATTTAATGCCGTAATAATACAAATTGAAGTAGTATTGTGGGAAATGGTGTGAGCAGCAGTAATATTAATAATAGTAATTTAGTGGTTCTAGAACCGTGATCAGTAGTGTTGGCAGTATTGTTGGATTTACGGTCTATTATGATATTAGTACTGCTCTAGTAACAGACCTAATCCTGAAATGGTAGATTTTTCTTTTTATAACTCCATAATCTATAACATCTTACGTGGAAGTTACATCATCGTCTATAACAACTGATTTCATCGTAACAATTACCAATACACGATGGAGAACAAGCTTAGGCTATAGATAGAACAATATATTTAATATGAATAAAAGATACAAGATAACATTCAACAGGGACCACGCCTGCAATACCGAGCCATCCCACACTCACACAAATCACATGTTAAACATACCGCCAAAAACCAACAAAATGACCAGAATTGATGCAGTAGAGTGGATAGACTAGCATTAGTAGTACCATAACGAATACCTCGAACCGTACCGAAACAACGAGATGCGAGTGCAAAGAAATCAATCTGTTAATAAAACTCACCGAAAAATATCTGTACATCCCAAATTGAGGTCGGATCAACTAGAGAATTCTTGTACATTGAGGCTATTATTGAAACATTGGCTTCCCTCAATCATTAACTGTAACTTTTGCAGCCTATTTTGTTTGTTGATGTTTGTAAATCTAGCGGATTTTCAAAAAGCTTCCAAGCTTTTCCTTGCATTTTGTTTGTGAGGATGTCGCGTCTCAACTACAGCAAGTGGGATCACATCGAGGTTTGTACTTTTCACAAACTACCCTCTATATTTTCTGTTTCACAGTCATCTGTGTTTGCATGTAACTAATGTAATTTTACAGCGTGATGAGATAATTTCTGGAATTTGATGCTTCTGGCACTGTCTTTGTCAGTACTAACTCCCACCAAATAATAATAAAATGCCCTACAGCCTCAACATTACCTTTCAAATAATATAAGTCTTTGTTTATATGTGATCGCACATCAGTGTTCCAGTTTAGATGGGAAAAACCGAAAAATAATAAATTTATTTTGTCTTTATCTTAATGATTAGAAAATTTCACGTGTGAGCATTACCAACGTTCTAGACTGTTCTTCAAGCAAGAAGGTATACCGAATAGTTCAGGTGGTTTCTGGAGTGCTCAGGTTCTAGAATTGACGTCACTTTAAGGGAGGAGAACGCGATAGGATTGAGGTGGAAAGGAAATCATTAACTGCTACAATAGGGATGTGCACATGAAACTACAGTCAAAATACAAGTTAGGTTACGAGACTGAAAGTCAAGAGTGATGGTGATCTGTGGATTCATCAGAGGACATAATGAGTGTGACTGGGGTATCACGACGAATCTAGCTCTTCACACCGTTTCCAACTTCAGCTCAAGACTGTTGCTCAATCACCAACCAGAAATTTCACATGTCATGACGAGACTAAGATTATCAGTGTGCGTCAACATGTATAATTGAGATGTATCGACCTACCACTCCTAGTTTATTTTCAACTTGCATGCCAGTCAGCATCTTTTGCAGGGTAGATAAAATAAGCGTGCTTAACATCTCTCTGAAGGGATTGTGCTCTCGTCAACCGACTTGCCAATTCTACATGGTATTGTCCGTCTAACCTTAACACTACTGGTCAATTGTTGTATAATATACACTAGCAGTTCTTGGAAGATGCCTGTGATTGAATACTTACAACTCACGGGTGTTTTCTATTTTGAAGAACGTTTGGTGATATGAAACAGATTGCTTCTCAGTTTACTCACTTATTGGTTAACATACAGATTGAGACCTAGATTTATGTAACTTCAGTCCTTAAATAAATGGATAGTTGCGACTGTATCAGTTGGTTGAGTTTTTAACCCATTGTGATTGTTAGAAGTACCCGAATTGTTGTGCAATCTAGGAATTCCCGAAGTAGTGCAGTCTATGCAGAGAAAAGTAGGTTAGCACAAACGAATGCGGTGTACCTGGAATTCGAAATCAGGCGGACATCAATTGCGAAAGAATCATTAGTTCATACGAGCACCAAACACGCTAAAACTTAAACGAGATTCCGAATTCCTGCAATCAATCCTACCACTTCTCCATGTGTTTATTATGTGTCTGTTCGACTGTATATTCGGTGTAGAATCTGTGTTATCTAGAATATACTCATTAGTATTAGAATCAACAACTGAAATCGGAACAGACTCACTTAAGTCTTTGAATTTTATGCAATCGCTATGTCAACTGCGTGCTGAAACCAACGATAACTAGATTTGAACCATAGATTTTCCAACACTATCCTCCCCACGAAATAACGTGAGGTACTTATGCAGCAATGTCATGAACGATTTCACGTCATCATGTGACTTCGACATCCATAAAAAAATATGATACATATTGCTTTTGCTTTTTATGTTAGAATACACAAGACCATTCTTCCAATTATCAGGTAAATACGCATTGATATGTTCAATGAACACATGTGATTCATTTAAGCTTGATTCATAAAGAATAACAATGCCTCAGTCCGTGAGGCTGGTCGCGCTCATGTGTGCATTTACTCAACTTCTACTAAAAGATAACTGTTTTATACTATCCCTGTAATCCCGTTGCTTTAGTATATTTTATGAATTATTACGCGTGCACAACCACTCCTAACCTCGATGGCCAAACACCGTTTTAGTATCATGAATACTCATAACCGTACCGAGCCAACAACAAGCGAGAGCAATGAAATTAATCTTTTCATACACACTCGCTTCAAAGTTATTGGAAACATGAAACGACCTTAGAACAATTTGAAATTCCGTGACCTTCAGTTTGCTTCATCATGAGCGAAAGATACAGCTTCTCCTTAACTACATTCAGGTGAGCCCATATTTCTAGGCTTTACTAAAAAATTAAGCCCATCCGGAAAGCTTGTTCAGATCGAATATGCATTGAAAGCAGTTGAAGCTGGAGCTCCGTCTGTTGGTATACGTGCCGCAAATGGGGTTGTACTTGCTGCAGTAAAAAAGTTCACTTCAAAACTTATGGACGAGTCAACAGTGACAAAAATTGAACAAGTGACGGGTGGGATAGGGATGGTTTACAGTGGTCTGTCACCAGATTATCGTGTATTGGTTAAACAGGCCAGAAAGTCGTCCCAGGCATATCAGCTGGCGTATGGTGAACCTATATCTCCGGAACAATTGGTTATCCGAATAGCTGCTGTTATGCAAGAATATACACAATCCGGGTGGGTTTTGTGTTCCTATCATTTTCGCGTTTATATCGACAAAAGTTAGCTAGCCAACTGATTACATCAATGTTTATACTTCATATAGAATTATAGATATAGTAATTAGTTACACTCAACAGACAAATAATATGTATACTTATGTGATGTGACCCTATAGCAGAACGTCTACATTACTAGAATTTACTATGAATTCTGCTTTCTATTCTGCACTCCACATTTTATAGTATGAACTTTTCCACATCATTGCTATTTATATCACCGGAATAGAATTCACTGACGATTTTGATATAGTTTCTCCCTGATTCTTCTGACTGAAGTTATTCACTAGGAGGTCCTAGGTCCATGATTCATGCTGAATAGCACTGACGGCGAGACTATATTTTATGGTCGACCTTTGAACGAGCTTTATGTGACCTTGAGAAATATTAGTCAATCAGAATAGACTTTGTATAAAGTAAAAATATTTTATGAGAAACTCGTGAATTACAGTAGATATTCTTTTTTTACACGATTTAAAAACTTGTTAAGGTTAGATGAAGGCTCAGAAGGTCTGAAATCATAATGCATGCGGCGTAGGTACTCGTCCATTTGGATCCATAATAATCGTCCTCTGGAGCCATGGTAGGGTCTTAAAAATTCCTTCAGCCTATACCACATGGCTTCAATATTGTTTGTATAAATCCACGTCGTTGGGTCGACGAAATGGCGTTTGTGCACTACAGCATGATGCACAGATTCAATTCTCTGGTGGCATCTGTGGGCTTTCCAATCATCAGTGTAGATCGTGGGGCCAGGCTGGACGTACTCCTTTATGATTGGTATTATTGTCGTTGCCTGACGGTTTCTCACTCTTTGAAAATGTCCCTTTTGGGTTGAACGATCATGAAATTCAAGTACCTGTCAAGTATATTTAAGGGAGTGCTACTTACCCAATCTTCCTTGATAAAACGTCCTTTGTTGCATTTTCGCTTTCTAACTACTGTCTCATCTATTTCCACTATTCTTACAACTCCTCCAAATGATTCATGTAGTCGTATCATTTTGCTTGCACATATATCACGGCAATATTCGTACCACTGAACGGCTGAAACTTCCGTAACATCTGCAAAAGCCGTAGCTAATGTTACTGGAGACTTTATGATCCAATTTGCAACAATTATCATGATTTGTTTTAGTCTGAGTCGTGATCAAGTAAAGAAAGTGCCTGTTCGAGCAGATTTTTTCCTCCAACATATAGGACAACGAAATACAATTTCATCACGGTAGTCTGCACATGGTGCTGCAGTCATTTGATTGCCGCAGTCACTTCTTAATAGTCCCATTGTTGTAGTCGCTCGACAATCACTTCTCTAAAATATGCTGTAAAACGATAGTATGTAAGCATCACGTATTGAACTTAGCGCCGTGACCTTGAAATTCCTCAGACGCTTCTGATTGGCTCGTCCATAAATTATAGTCTCGACGCTCTCGCGAACAAAATGTATCTTAAGTCTTAAAGTAACTCAAGATCGTAAAGCCAACCTGGTATGTAAATCCGTAACTGCCAGTGATCTGTTTGGGCCACTACTATATTTCACATTGTCCATATTAATGGTTTTTGTAACTAAACACAATCAATTTAATTCCTGTTTTTTCTTTAGTCATACATCCGGGTAGTGCCATTATTCTTGTACACTTAAAATGTACTTCATACCCAAGTATCTGATAATTGCGTTACAAGAAAGGCGTCCCATGTTATTACCCTCTTCAACGAATCCATATTGTTTTATACACTATGTATATATCTTTCGACCAAACATTGGATCCGATTTGCAGTTACATTCGTGTTTCTCACTCCATAAGTATATTTGTTCTGATTATTAATCTCACGATTCCAATTGACATATCAATTTACCCAGGTCAACACTAAATGTCAGTCATCTCAATCTTATTCACCTCCACCAACAATTTTAAATCCAAAATGCAATTTTAAATTATTTATTTGCCTTAAACTTGGACATTACCTTGGACTATTCATTCAAATGTGTGGTCAGAATTTGGTGAAAATTCACTAAAAAGTTTATCCGCTCATATATCAGTATTTTAGTGTGTTTGGTTTTTAAGCAGTTCGAAAGTAGGTTGTTTTAATTTTATTATTACTTGAAGTATGTAGTATAGCGCACATAAGTTTTCTCTGTGTGCAGTCACTATACATAATAATGCACTCATCGAGCTTTTATCCCTTGTTTTTTTTACATCACAAATAGTGCAATTTTATTCATGATTACATTCTTCTCTTCTGTTTCCAGAGGTGTTCGCCCATTTGGTGTCTCCCTATTAGTTGCAGGATGGGATCGAGATTTGCAACGACCGTTTCTTTACCAATGTGATCCTTCTGTAAGTTTATTATGTGAATATAAATTATATAAACCATCCAGAAAAATTTATCTCCTACCAATTAAATAACATTTTGCATGTAACATATCACAACAGTAAAAGTATTTTCAAAAGCTTCCTGTTGCGTCCTTACTACCGGTTAGTAAGAATCGTGTTAAATTAGACGAAAATATACCGCTGTTCAACCTTACACGGGAACCAATAGGTTCATGTTGCCACCCATAGTACAGAAAGATGAATTTCGCTGAAACTTTAAACATTGGTCACAGAACATAACTGAAATGAGAAGACAAACAGTGCGTCAACATGAACTCTTTAGGATTTACAACTGCCCATTTCTGATTCTTTTAAGATTCATATCAGGGATATTGCAAATTTGACTGACAGTGACTTCGTGAATTAGTGTTATAGCATCTATGGTTTTTTTGCAAAGGTGATTTTTACTTCGATCACCCTTGTACACTAACGCAGACGATGAACTTGCGTACTCAATAAACAAAATAAAACTAACTAGTGTTTGTAATTGGTGATTCGTTATATGAGCTTCAAAGCGATTTCCACCACCATGGAAATCCAGTTGCTTCAATCTGTATCTTATTCATTTTATGTTTGTCATAGGGTACGTATTTCCCTTGGAAGGCTACTGCATTAGGACAGAATTCACAAAATGGCAAGTCCTTTTTGGAAAAACGGTAAATTGATTTTTCTATTTGGATTTTGTTGATTACAGTTTTTAGCTCTTTAATAACTAACTAATAATCGACATCATAAATTAAGTGCTTTTCAACAGCTATGTTATGTTTCACTGTCAATCACGGTTGTGATGGAATGGTATCTCACCCTTCGTCGTCTTAAGTTAAACAGAATTCATCATATAATGATTTAAAGTGATGTCTGGGTAGTTCGAGTTAAATTCATAGATAGCAAATCACAATCTTTGATAGGGAGTGAAGTAGTTGAGTGTGTCGACCGCTTCACTTATCTTGGAAGTCTCATCAGCCCTTGTGGTTTAGTGTGACGAAATCTCAGCACGGATACAGAAGGCTCGACTAGCTTTTGCCAACTTGCGTCATTTATGGCGTAGGCGAGATATCCGTCTATCAACCAAAGGACGTGTTTACTGTGCAGCAGTTCGTTCCGTCCTACTTTATGGCAGTGAAACATGGCCGGTAAGAGTAGAGGATATCCGTAGGTTACTAGTATTTGATCATAGGTGTCTTCGAAACATTGCTCGTATATCATGGGACCATCGAGTAAGTAATGCAGTTGTTAGGAAACGGGTACTAGGTAAGGATGGCAAATCAATTGATGAAGTAGTGAAACTTCATCAGTTGAGATGGCTGGGACACGTGTTACGTATGCCCAACGACCGACTGCCTCGACGTGCTATGTTCAGTGGTATAGGAGTAGGTTGGAAGAAAGCTAGGGGCGGCCAAACCAAAACATGGCACAAGTCCATGAAGTCACTGACAAGTGGACTGAGTCATGTTGGTAGGTGTAGACTACCTGGTTGGGGACCGCGAGATGACAGCAACCGATGGTTAGAGACCCTGAATGACATGGCTCAAAATCGTTTGCAATGGCGCAGGTGCATCCACTCTTTGTGTTCTCCCAAATTCTAATCTTCTGAATTCTTCATGTCCCTTTTTTCCTCTTTCCAAATTTCTTTCACTGGATTATACTCTTTAAATAACATCTCCAAACCCTAATCTTCCCGATTACTGCTTATACTCTTATTACCTCTACCACTACGGGATTTGAATCGACAAGTGCATCTCTGTGCTAATGTGGTGTGGCAACTCGAACTGATGTACGTACGTACGAAGTTCTACGTTGTTACTGACTGACTGACTGAAATCACAATCTTGATTCAGTTATATCGGTTTTAAAGAGCCTAATAGGACCAAGAGCTAGGTACAATCACTATGTGCTTACTTGATAAATAAGTTACCTTATGAAAAAATTTTAAGGAAGGAAATAAATATTCAAGTTATTGCTTTACAATCAAAATACAGAACATTCAATTTGATCTGTTAATGTATTTAAAATGCCTTTATATTTCTATTGATAGATATAATGAAAATTTAGAACTGGAGGATGCTACACATGCGGCCATATTAACCTTAAAAGAGAGTTTTGAAGGTCAAATGACTGAAAGTAATATTGAAGTTGGTGTATGCAATGAAAATGGTTTTCGAATTTTAACATCAGATGAAGTGAAAGATTATTTAGCAGCTATACCATAATAATTTTTAAAAAACGTTTTGTCAAATAAAACCATTTCAAGTTAATTTTCTACAAATAATGAGTTTTTCCTGATTGTACATGCTTCTTTAATTTCGTATTAAATTATTTGTACACATTGGTGATAGTAGTAGTAGTAGCGGTGCACTTTAATCAATTTCATTACATAAAAGATTGAAGCGAGCTGTGACAAGCTACAGTAAATGTCAACATCACATCTTACTCTTATCTCCATGACCTTTATAGATATTGATGTGTAATTATAACGGTAAACTGTATAGATGTAATCCTCTCTCATAATTACATAAATTTACACTGCTTAGGCTGATATGTATTCACTGAATCTTACGCTGTAATAGTGACTGAATGAATATGACAATCTGCACCCGGACCATTGCTGCTACCTTGGCGTGGTGGTCGCGTTTGCCTATCGTAACGAACTAATCGAGCTATACTGGCTGGAACAATTGTCCCTCAAAGTCTCACCATGCCAGATAGGTCGGTTGAAGAGCGGTAAGACTAAAAGCAACAAACCCAAGATCCGAAGGCGAAGTCGTACTGCTGACTGTACAGAGGTGTGACGGCAGTAAGTTGTTTCCTTCAGATAACCGGCATAACAGTGGTTCTGCCTCCCCACAAGGAAGGGTGGGGTTAGAAAAGGTCGATCATAAGAATGCACACATTGTTTTATCCCACGAATATCCATCACCGGCGGTACGGTCCCAAAACGTATGGAGCTAACACAGAAATTACCCATAAAAAGGTCGTGTGCGACCGACCTCAAGCAGTTGTCCCTTGGGCACTGCGGTCACGCTCTCAGGTCACTAAGACCACCTCTGATCCAATTTCCTTTTCAGGTACCTCTAGGGGAAGCCTTTCACGGTGTGGGCAACCGGGAAGTGATAACCGCCCCCATACATCTAACAGCACTCAAGACCACTGTATTCACAATCAACCCACTTCAATACCTATTATTCCTGTTACATCTACTTTCAACACTAAACTTCCTCTTTTGGCTTCCTCCTCAAGTGTCACCATAGCCAACAATTCTAATGCGCGAACACTGTCCCAGGTCTACTGAAACCTCGCTGCAAACTACACATTGGAGTCTTCAACATACACACCCTATGTCAAATCGACCAGTTGGCCTCCTTAGCTGAGACTCTAGAATCTCGTACCATTGATGTATGCTGTGTCTCCGAAACGCGTACAGGATCCTAGTGTAATCAGTCACTTGACCTCGCCTTGCCAAACGGAGAGCCGACAAGATACACCCTTCGTGTGTCTGGCGACCCGATGGCTAGTTCTCGTGGACTGGCAGGTGTATGCATAGCACTAAGTACGAGGGCAGAATAAACACAATAGAATAAATCCCCGTTAACAGTCGCCTATGTGTTGTTCGGCTAAACAGCTTCATAGAAACTCGGGAGGATAAGGACACACGTCGTTTGTGCCTACGCTCCCATTGACTGCAAGCCGGATGAAGTGGAAGATGACTCACAGAAAGCTCTCTGAACTTCTTCATAAAGCTAAACGCTCGAATATAGTACTCGTAACAGGTGACATTATTGCTCAAGTAGGTAGCTTAAACTAAACAGAACGACATTTAAGTGGGTATTTTAGTATTCCGGCGCAACGGACAGATAATGGTGACCGTCTGCTGTAACTGTGCTCACACAGTCGTTTATTTCTAACAAGCACTAATTTTAATCGTGAGACAGTCTAAGATAGAGACCTCCTGCGCTAAACCGATGATGGACTCGAATAAACCATATTGCAATCAGTCATCATTGGAGAGGTTCGGAAGAAAACTGCCGCTCATTCTGAAGTACACATTTAGACTCTGATCATGCTCTAACACGAGCACATATTTGCTTGCGCCTCACTGGACTCAGAAAAACTGCACTAAGACCCATTAGAGTTGGACTCAGTGACGAGAAAGCCAGAAGTAGATTCCAGGAACAACTGAGGTCACACTTAGGTAGTTCTGAAAACGAGGCTGACCCAGATGTTGCTTGGAAAGATATATGAACAGCAGTGACATCTATTAGTGATTTAAACTAATGGATTTCTACCGAATCTATTGCATTGATGAAGTCTCGCGAAATCATCCCATCAGGCTCTGAAAACAATGAAGAACGAAAACATCAGATCAGGTTAACCAAAAGTCTAAGGAACGACTGAGCAGTGATGGGCAACGAAAGCAAAAGAGATGGGAAAGGGAGCGGCTGTATGTAACACAAGGCAGCTCGTCAGACTAATAAAAGAAACTGGAATTAAGAAGTCAAATGTAAGACGATCTCGGAAAAAGACGACACTTATCTGCTCCCAGTTCAGACGTTTAGAACGATGAGCTGAACACTAATGAGCAGTTCGACTGGCCTTCAGTTACTCTACAACTACCCACCGTTCCCAAAGTATGATGGTCCAATTTTAGCGATTAGGTTGACTAATATTTTGACTAAAATCTGGGCGTAATCCCATCTAACTGGTCGCAATCACTGACTGTCCCAATATATAAAGTGGTCAAGATTATCCTGTGATAAACATGAAGGGATTGGCTTGACTAATATAGCTTCTAAAATACTGGCCTCAATAATTATCGGACGCATAACTAAGACTTATGAACTGCAAACACGAAAAAACCAGGCTTGCTTCAGACCCGGTCGTGGCTGTATCAATCGCATACTCACCATTCGTCAGGTTTTAGAACATAGGTATGCTTATTGGCGTCCGACAATGATAGTTTTTCCTGACATAAAAGGAGCATTTGACTCTGTAGATCGAGGTCCTGTGTCTGTCATTGAAAGGTGTATTTCAGAAGTACGTGTACCTTGTGAAGGCTCTTTACTCGAACACTACCAGTCGAGTCGGAGCTTATGGCGAACTGTCATCTGATTTCGCAACCTCAAGTGGTGTGCGACAACTGTCCATTATCTCCATTTTTGTTTAATTTCATCATGGACCTATTGCTGGAAATAACTTTCTCGTCAACTGAATTTCCGGGCATTGATCTCCTACCAGGTCTAATTATCGACCTACAATACGCACACGACATAGTCCTATTTGGTGAAGACGCTGATAAAATGCTGAGTCATTTGGTAGCACTGAGCAACAATGCCAGGATGTTTGGAATGCGTTTCTCCCTCTCCAAATGCAAGTTTTGGCTTCAAAACTGGCCTGCGTCAACACCTGAATTAAAAATAGGGAGTGACGTAATCGGACGTGTTGACAATTTCACTTATCTCGAAAGTCTGATCAACCCTGATGGGCTGGTGTCTAACGAAACCTCTGCACGGATTCGAAAAGCTCGTCTGACATTTGCCAAATTACGTCACCTATGGCGAAGGCGAGATATCCGTCTATCAATAAAAGGACGAGTATATTGCGTGGCAGTTCGTTCTGTTTTACTTTACAGCTGAGAAACGTGCCCATCAGGAGTAGATACTCGTAAGCTACTAGTATTTAATCACAGATGTCTTGAAAATATTGCTCGCATCTGCTGGGATCACCGGGTAAGTAATAGTGAGGTTAGACGCAGAGTATTAGGAAATGATGGTAAATCAGTTGATGAGGTTGTGAATTTTCATCGACTGGGATGGTTGGGCCACATGTTGGGTATGCCCGAACACCGATCACGACGACGCGCAATGCTTACTAGTGTTGGGGATGGTTGAAAGTTAGGGGCGGCCAAACCACTAACTTCTGATCTGATCCATGTTAATAAATGCAGACTACTTGGTTGGGGTTCACACGACTACCGTAACCAACGGTTGAAGACTCTGGGTGACACGGCTCAGAATCGATCACAATGGCCTAGGTGTATAAGCTTTCTGTCTTCCCTTAAACACAGATTAAAATTGCTTTATATCTTTCTTTCTACGAACTAATTCTTTCTTCCTGTATTATATCATCAAATGCATTCTTTCTTTTATATATTACTACTATTGAAGTAACTACTTCTATGAATTTAGTGTTCATTTTATTGTGTTAATGAATTGTGGTCACTTGGACCGATGCGTATATGTGCCTGGTACTACGTTGCAGCTGACTGACCCGGAATGAAATGACAATATTTTCTCAAGTTAAATCAGATTAATTAGGGAATCATGAATTCCGACAAGATGTTGCTCAGTATTTAACATGCTCAACTCGCAAATGATAAAACTGTGGATTCGGATTTCATTACCATCGTCTACTTCAGTTGTAGCACGTACACATAATCTAAAATGTAGCTTATTACATTTATTGCATTACTGATATATCGTCTCGAGGTGAGAGAAAAACAAACCACTCAAGAAAATATGCATAAATTCATTAGTCGTTCGTAGGAATTACTCTTTACACACACATATTAATTAGAAATGAAACAATGTGCTTACATACTAAATCAATCCAGTGGACTCATTTTTAAGAAAAGAAATTCAACCAACAAACGCTTTAACATAATGTGATAGATGATAAACGCATAAGAAGAAGAGGAGAGTTGTAGTAAGGATTCAGTAGTGATTAATATGAAGTATGTATAAAATCGTTTACTTTTCTTTAATAAACAGAGAGGGGCAATTTTCGATAGCGAGTATAGTATACAAGAGAATTTATTATGTTAGGCGTTATCATGGATTGGTTCTTTATTTGTTTGAATTGTAGCAGCAATATCATCATTACCGTCAGTGTTAACATTTGACGATGATTCACCATCTTCTTCTTGTTGATCACGTGCATTATCCACCCATAGGCCACTATCAACACATCTTTTCATATGATATTCAGCTTGTTGTGGATCCATACTGCATAATACTGTTTTTAATAACTCAACATCTTTTTTCTCAAAACACTCTTGAAGATTCTTGTAGCGTGAGAAATAAAATAGGAGAAAACTAAATTATCTACATATATTACATACAATGTGCATAAACGAGAACAAATGTTATTAATCTTTAATCATTGATTACGTGATTATTGCATATTTCATCAGTGATGGAATGGTAACTATTTAGTCAAAGAAAAGCTGTGATCTGTTCTGTCAACTATAAATATGAATAAATCAGACTAAAAACGAAAATCGACTACAATTCTAAATATGTCGTTTTTGAATCACTTGTCCAAAAATATGTTTTGCCTTTGGAGCAATTTCAACGTCCTGTGTATGAAGTTGTCGTTCATACACATTGTTTCTGATGGATCATCTCTTAATTAGAATGAAAAAAGCTAAACATTATTCTTAAACTAATTTAATCAGGTGAAAATGACCTGACCAAAGCTGTTAGTTGTTGTTATTACTTCAACTTAAACCCCTTTATGTAGTTTTTCAATTGATATATGTTGTTTGTCTGAAACTTACATACATAAACCAAGTGTGATTATTCATTCACCAGGCTAGTGTAAAATATCAATACAATTCACATTTCGGGTGTATCTGGAGTCTCAAGCAATTTTTTATGGCATAAATAGACATACGCGTAGCATTAATTCCAAAAGTAGAATTTACACTCCTAGATCGAACTCCAGTTGTTTGCACTTTATCATAATGAACAAAATAGTAAGAATCTTGAAAGATATGTATACAATTTGTTATTTCCTGGCACTGTCTGTATACGTTCCCACTAACTATGGTTTAGATAAAATGAGAAGTGTTTTAACACCCAACTATTATCCGAGGTGGTAGCATTCAGTATGCTTGTGAAACCTGGCTTCTCCGAGTTGAGGATGTTAGACGACTTTGTGTTTGATCATCGTTGTCTTCGAAGGATTGCTGACATCCAGTGGTAATACCATGTTAGTAATGCAGAAGTTCAGCAATGTGCGTTCGGGCGCAGCGACGATAATGCAATTGATGTCACTATCTTGAGACATCGACTTCGGTGGCTTGGACATGTCCTACGAATGTCGTCCCAGAGAATTCCACGTCGTGCATTATTTGCCGACGCTGGAACTGGTTGCAAAAAAACGGATAGGTGGTCATTGTATGACATGGTGTCGTGGCATGAAAGAAAGCTGCAAAGGGCTGGCTTCCGTTGGTCCTTCTCGACTCCCTGGTTGGAGTCCTAGAGATGGTGCAACACAGCGGCTAGAGACGTTATCAGATATGGCTCAGAATAGAAGCCAGTGGTGATCCTGCTGTAACTTATTTTTACTTTCTTCATAAAAAGTGGTTGTAACTTCCTTAACTGAAAGAATTCCTCCTGGTTATACCTTTCCGTTTACCCCATAATAATCCATGTCCACCAACCCGGTTAAAGCGCCGGACATTCGCTTTTCGTCCTCTCAATTTCGTAAACAACACTCGTTGTGCGAGAAGGCAATGGGTAGGACTTCCCTGGCACAGGCTATATACGCGTGGCCTTGTGAGAGCGTTTCGAGAAGGATAACAGGCTCTCCCCACTCTCAGCCGTACCAGGGCATTTAGGGGCATACAGCATTCTGATACTATAGATGATGTCAATTCGTGAGGAAAACCCTAACTCTTAATCCTAATCATAAACACTAATTTACAGCTTTCAGTTGAGCCACGTATTTGAACTGCTCTATTTTGACTTCTGACCCCAAATGTCCAGACAGGGTCGAGAGTGGTAAGTCTGCTCTCTCTCTCTCTCGAAATGCTCTCATAAGACCACGTATATATTGACGCTGTCAAGGAAGTCTTACTCACTACCTCGTGACAGGGATATTTACGAAATTGAGCGGACAAAACGCTAATGTCCGGCGTTAAGACTGGGTTGGTGGGTACGAAAAACTCACCTAGGGAAGTTCGAAAACCTTGACTTTTAACCAATGGTCCGCATGAACTCCAGGTTCATGAGAAAAAATAAAGTACAAACCTATTGCCATTTACCGGATCCGATGGGACTGGACCTCCTAACGTTGCTCCACAACCTTGAGGATTAGATTTCTAGGTCGAAGGCTCGGGGAGTGCCCCTTAGGAAAAGCGTATGCTTCCACTTAGACAACTGGGAAGTATCCCAACCCATATATAAACTGAATAACAACTATTTTGTGTGGGGCATACATATTTCGGTTCCCCTTTGTACTAATGTTGTGTTTAAATAAGTAACTGTCACTTTGGTATGGTTCCAAGTACGTTTATAAACTTAAGTCTAGTCCCGTTTACTCTTAAAAACCTGTATGATTAATACCGTTTTCGCTGAATACTTAGCATATAAAAACCAGTTTAATAAAGTTAATTAGGAAGCTAGTGGTTCCATTATTTCACTGTAGATCGGTCGAATGAGTAGGCTGGAAAAATTTCATTGTAAAGTTTTCTTTTAGAAAACAACCGAAATTCACAACAATAAATATTACTAACCGTTGGTAACGACTCAAAAACTTCAACTGGATCCAGACCACCAGGACCAAGACGTTTTTGCTTTTCTTCCTAAAACGAAAAACAGAAACTAGCCATACAGTCACACGGATTTTTTAAATTACTAAGTAAACGTATACGGCACGCACTCGATATTGAACTGCACACATCATTAATGTAAGGAGTTATGTAATCATACTATCCCTTTGTTCAATCCAAAGGAAATATAGTAGTAATTTGCCACTAGTAACAATAAACAAGTTGCGAAATATGGCCATTAAGAGTAGAAGACACTCGTAAGCTATTAGTATTTGACCACAGATGCCTTAGAAATATTGCTGGCGTCTGCTGGGATCACCGGGTAAGTAATAGTGAGGTTAGACGCAGAGTATTAGGGAATGATGGTAAATCAGTTGATGAGGTTGTGAATCTTCATCGACTGAGATGGTTGGGCCACATGTTGCGTATGCCTGAACACCGATTACCACGACGCGCATTGCTAACCGGTGTTGGAGATGATTGGAAGAAAGTTAGGGGCGGCCAAACCAAAACGTCGCATCAGACCATAAAGTCACTAACTTCTAGTCTGAGTCATGTTGGTAGATGCAGACTACTTGGTTGGGGTCCGCGTGATTATCGTAACCAATGGTTAGAGACTCTTGGTGAAATGGCTCGGAACCGACCACAATGGCGGTGGGTGTATACACTCTGTCTTCCCTTAAACTATGAGATTATAATCCCTTCATATCTTTCCTACCACTTACTTATTCAGTCTTTCTGTACTATGTCCTTATATGCAATCTTTCTTTTATATATTA